GCTCAGGCTGCGGGCCAGGTCTCTCCAGAGGGCGTCGAGGCGGGCGTGCAGGTCCTCCACGGGGGGCGGGCCGTCCTGCGGGTCCCCCGGGTGGGAGGGCCGGGAGGAGAGCTTCAGCCTCATCTCCTCCGTCTCCTGGTCGAGGGCGCGGGTGAAGTCCTGGATCTGGAGGTACGTGTCCCTCCGGAACTCCTCCACCCGCCGCTGCACCTCCCGGGCCAGCTCCTCCGCGTAGCCGTCCGTGGGGGCCCGCCGCTCTGCCGGGGTAGAGGCTCAGCTTCGCCTGGAGCTGCTCCAGGTTCCCCTGGATCTTCTGGTGGAGGTCCCTCGCGTTCTGGGTCAGCTTCGCGGAGAGCTCCTGGATGTGCCGGTCGAGCTGCTCCGGGCTGGCCTGGGCGTGAGGGACGACGTTTCTGTGCAGCTCCTCCACGTTGCGGTGGATCTCGGTCACCAGCCTGTCCGCGTAGGGGCGGAAAATGTCCTTCACCTGGCCGGTGTGGAACGCGATCTTGTCGGCGTACTGAGCCATGAACCTCTGGACCTCGTCCGCGCCCTCCAGGAGCTGAGCCGTCGCCTCCCGGCTGGGCATAAGGTGCCGCCGGAGCTCCCGGGCTTTCAGGGACACCTGGTCCAGGAGCTCCTCCGTGAAGGGCTGCAGCCGGTAGCGAAGATCTTCCAGATGCTTGCCGACCTTGTGGTGGACCTCGTCCACGTACGGGGACAGTTTCACCCTCAGGCTCTCCAGCTCTTTCCTGATGAGCTTCCGCAGGCTGTCCGAGTCGTGGTAGAGCCGGGGCTGGAGGCCTCTGTTGAGGGGCGCCAGCTTCTCCAGGAAGTTTCCCATGTAGCTGACCCCATCCTGAATACTCCCCTTCAGGTTTCTGCACGAGACGGCAGGGGTAGTTACTGAGCACCCCTGGCTTACCGCAGCATCTCCGCCATGCCCGAACGCGCCCGCAATAAAAGCTGTTGACAGCCGCCAGGGCCGTTCCCGTGAGCTTTTCCGTCCCCGGGGAAGGAGAAGCGGGGGCCAACGCGTGTTGGCGGGGCCTGGGGGGAGCTGGCGGAGGGACCGCAGGCCGTTACCCAGGCCGGGCGCTGCGAGGCAAGCCCCCGGAGCGGCGTACTCACGCGATGTCCCTGCCCAGCTTGCTGCTCTGGCCGTGCTCCGGGCTGTCCTTGTCGCTCGTCAGCTGGCTGAGGTACTCCAAGAAGCCGCTCCTTGCCAGCTCGGCCGGCGACACTGCGGGCAGGAGGGCAGCGGTTAGCGGGGCGGCCGTGGCGCTGCCCACCCCCGGCTCTGCCCTCCTGCCCAGCCCGTGTCCCGGTTCTGCCCCGTCCCGCTGCCGCCGGCCGTCCCCGAGCCAGCTCCTCTGCTCGGCACCCACCCGGTAAGGTGGCCAGGAGGGCGAGGAGAAGCGCAGCCTTCAGAGGCATGGTCTGCCAGGCCGGCGCGCCGCCGTGCTGCGGGGAGAGAGAATAGGACCGCGTTAGCTCACGCCGCGGTGCAGGTCTCCTCTCTGAGCGCTCACGGGGCGGTGGTCCCTGCGCTTCACCCCCCCACACCTCGCTGCTTTCCGCGAGGACCTCGCTGCCGGGGAGTCCCCGTAACGCAACCGGGACGCACGTGAAATGACG